TTCTCTGAATGTTTGTTTTACAATACTGTCATATAATACTGAGCTATCAATAGAGTTTTACACAGGGAGACATAAAGCCTTTCTGTAATGGTCTTTATGTTGTTTAAATAACGAACAGTTTGAGTCCCCAGTCAAGAATTAGAGATCCGCTGTGCCAGATGCTGGACAAACACAGAATTAGGCAAATGTCATGGTTCAAACAAGTTTGTGCTCTGAATAAGGGAATGGAGATATGCTCCTCATCCTGTTTTCTGTATCCAAGACATCTCTGAAAGGACTGTGAACAGTGGCAGCAGGCAATCTGGCTAAAAACACAGTTGCATGTTTTGTAGTTGTACTCTGTACAGTCAGTACTGAATATCATGTTATATTGGGGTACTTAGAATCATTTAGGTTGGAAAAGACCTCTAAGGTCATTGAGTCCAGCTGTTAGCCCAGCACTGCCAAGTCCACCACTAAACCCTGTAGCCCTGGTCACGCTGCCATGTCATGAGCAGGCAGCAAGGAGCCTTGTGGGGTGCCTCCTTCCTTTGCACCCGAGGTGCTGGGATCTGCAGAGTAGCTGACAAAACAGCTGCACAGAGCAGAGAGACACACAGAACAAGGTATGTTAGGGTGTAGGTCAAGAAGGTGGAAGGCAAAAAGGGAGGGGAGAGCTGAGGATAAAGGGCTTGTGTGGCTGGGAATGGGTGAAATTAGGAACCAAGAGTGGTAGGTGCCCCGTGACAAGGATCAGCCCCACAGTCTGTGGTCCAAAATGGGCTCAGAGAAACAAAAGACTCTATGACAGCCTTTGGCTTCACAATACACTCCTGCTTTGGCCACAGAGATGGGAGTAGACAGGAAACTGCTCTGGAGAGGGGCAGGAGAGGAAAGAGAGTGTGCTGAGGGGTGGGGAGGGAGGGTGAACTGGTGTGTCAGAGTCTAACAATGAACCGTCTGTGTCAGGAAAACAGACGTACTCGGCAGGGCTATTTTTAGGGGTTCAGATCTCCCCCTCTCTGAGTCTGCCTCCCCCCCTCTTCTGTGCTGAGTGGCGCCTGGCAGATTGGTGGAGATTTAAAGGCCACAGATAGGAAAGAGCTCAAACACAATGAAGGAAATGCAGCAGGGAGGGGAGAGATGGGTGCCCAGAAATAGCCTGTGCGACGCCTCAGCCACGGCCCCCAGCTCTAGTGGAAGGGGAAGAAATACTTAGACCTAATGGCCAAAGCTCGTTCCCCAGGCTCTCGGGGTGCTTCTGGTGTCACTGATACCTTGTCTGTGAGAACGGAGAGAATGGTAAAGAACTGTAAAGTCATTATCCGTGCTGTGTTCATTCACACACACAAGGCTGGCTCGCCACATCCATTCTCAAGCCGAAGGGCGGGTGAGGCATCGCCGATCAGCAGTGAAGTGGGATGGGAAGGTGCCTCACCTTCCTGCATGAACCTGTGGCTGACAGGGAGGCCTTTGTAACTAACTTAAAATCCTGACCTATATTTACAGGTTAAAGGGAAGGAGTTAAAGTCATTGTTGGGGGTCATGGCTTCCAAACTTGGGCTGTGGCACTGCGGGGCTGCTGGCTACCACACTCTGCACATGTTGGCAGAGATGAGGAAGGAATCTGTATGGAGATTGGCTGCTATGGGAATCCCAGTTTGGCCTGATGTTGCTCCTATTCTGCACTCATTTTTTTTCTTTTTCTATTTTATTTTTAGGAGGGAGAGAATTTCCCCCTTCTTTTCCAGCTGTTTCAAGCTTGAATTCCATTTCGCTTTCCATAATTCTTGCCTGAGAATTTTTCCTCTCCAGGTTTGCCTGATCTTGTCTGTGAAGCTTTTCCAGGAGGGACACTGGCTTACTCCTTAGCCCTGCTCACTCAGACTAGTTCAGAGACCTGCCCTGCCTCCTGAGTTGCGCAAATCCAGATTTCGTATTTTTTCCTCTCTGGAGAACATCGCCTCTTTCCCTCAGAAAAATCCCTTGGCTCAGCACTGATTTCAGGCTCTGATATGAAGTGCTTTATTTGTAAAGCCTCCCTTGTTTGGCTCCCACTCACCTTGCCTGACCTCCTCCTCCTCCTCCTCCTCCTCCTTCCTCTCCTTCTCTTGGCCACAGGCTCCCTGGGCAATCCTGTAGCGACCTCCCCTCTGTCCTCTTGCTGAACCTTATCCTGGCACTGGAAGAGCGATGGGAAGGCCCTGTAGCCCAGCCTGTCTGGCAAGAGCTCTCCTGGAGCTCCTCTTTCTCTTCTTTCTCTTCTTTCTCTCGCTGCAGCACACACCTCTTTCAGCCTGCTTGCCATGCCGTTTCCTTTCTCCAGCTCTCTTCCCTCCATGGGAACGAGGAGCTGGGCAGCAGCACAAGGCAGCAGGGCAGCAAACCTACAGCATCTGAAAGAGCTTCTGTGAATAAAGTGGGAATATTCCCTGTTTTGTTTCTAGCTTCTCTTCCTTGTACTTGTGCTTCAAATACTGTTTTTTTCTTGTCATGGCGGTGGCAGTCTCTCTGCTTTCCCCACTACAGTACCATGGTGGTGATGGCTGCTGGTGGGTCCTGCAGCCTGGCCCTGGATACTCAGGGTCCAGGGTCCTGGCTGGGATCAGGGCAGCAAACCACAGATAACCAAAATGAGAGGGCAGCATTTAATTTCTGCAGTGTTCATCAGCCAGCAGGACCCATCACCATGCCTTCCAAAGGTGGCACCAAGAAATGGTGCTTCCAGCCGAAAATGCCTACTGGCCTGTAATAATCACCATGGGGTGAGGGTGCTGTGCTGACCCAGCATTGCTGCTGAGCGCCCATGCTCTGGGACTGTGAGCCTTGGACCAGGGCTGTCCAAAGAAGGGGAGGGGGTTCACGCTGCACTGGGTTCTCCCTTGCCCCTGGGGCCAGAAATCCCTTGCTGGTGACATGAGGAAGCTTTACTCATGCAGGGGGTGATTATATTTTTTAAATGTATTTATTTATTTATTTTAAAATGAAAACATCCTCTTTTGAAGACATTCTGTTTGGATAAACTTGCAAGAGGGGAGTGGAGAAACCATATCTAAGATGAGGGAGAGCAACGGAGATAGGGCAGGAGTGTGATGTGGAGGGTTACAAGATGAAAGTACAGGTGGACACAGATCCTGTTAGTGATGTGACCTCCATCTGATGTAGAGCAGCGGAGGAGACCAGTGAGATTAAACATCTTGTTTAGCTCAGGGTAGGAGGGAGGGAGGGGGCTGCAGGGGGGAGTTCGGGACTTCAAAGAAAATGGTGTGGTTACTTGCCATGGTGAACCTGTTCTCTCACCGCTGGTCCAGTGTGGAGACTCAGCTGTGTGTGAAAGGGCTGGCAACTGCAGCAGGACCTGAGGAGGCTGGGACAGGGCTTTATCTTCCTACAGAAGGCAGCCAGTCACCCAGACAGTGGGAGGATGGCCTGGCAAGGCATCCAGGTCTGAGCGTCCTGTTGTCTGTGCAAGCTGTGTGAAGTGCGGCCCTTGGCAGGCAGGCAGGATGCGCTGTGGCACGCGATGGCTTTGGCGGCACGCCGGTGCGGAGAGGGATCCCATGCTCTGACTCGACATCAAGGTGCTGTGAGATGCTCAGAATAAATTCAAGGAAGTTCTAAGTGTTTCATGAGGACTGAGGGTTCCCGAGAACAAGCACTGGTCTGGTGTGAGAGCTCAGTTTTCCTCCTTAGCCTGCGACTGGGAGCAGAAGGCAGGGAGGTGACGGGCCAGACATCTCTATGATACATTCTGCAAATCATTTTCCCCTCAACCCGTCAAGCATCAAGATGTAAAATGGGGATAATTATGATAATTGCAGAGATAAACTGCAAAATCGGAGCTGTAATTGTACAAGGTCCTTCACTAGGTCCCTAGGTTTTTTCTTAGGCATGAAGTGGTAACATCCAACACTTCTGAAGGAAAAATTAGTCACCGTACCAACAGAACCTGAATTGATTTTGGCAGTGGTCAGATCTCAGACAGGGGCTTGATTTCTCTGAAAAATTACTCTCAATGAGTGAGGTGGTGAGTTTGCAGACGGGTTCCTCTGCCCCATGAGAGTGCAGAGCCGAGGATTGTGAAGGGAGGTGAGTTAAGGATGTCCTTTGCACCATTTCCTGGCCAGTTTTCCTCCACACCAAAACGACTTTCCTTGTCTTTGGCCTGATTTTTGGTGAAAAGCTGTGATATCCCATTTTTCATTTGTTTGTTCATTTTTTAACCCAGACCCATACAGCCACATTTGGCACAGAAGAAGGGTCAGTGAAGCCTTAGGAGAGTAAATTTTGCCTCCCTGGGTACGCTGGTGGGCATACCCAGTCCTGTAAAGAAATTTGAATTTCTGGGATAAAAAAACGTGAAGTAAGTGCAAGGAACTGCTCTTTTGAGCTGACATGTGTGTACTGAAAACTGGACCAGAAAAGCACTTTTGGGGTGAAAGGGGGCGATGACACAGACAAGGCTCGGGGCCTGAAGGCAGACCTGTCCCATTTCCCTTCTTGCTGTACTGAGTCATTTCAGCTCCTTATCTAAACCCCTTTGTTGTTCAGGGGGAGCCTTTTTTGGGAGCTGACTCAAAAGTATGTGAACTTAGATACCCGGACAGCATCTGTTTCTGCTTGCCGGGGAGGAGGGAGCTGAAGGTTTCCCTCTTTAATTTCCCAGCTCTCTGTCCCCTTCTTGCACTTCAGCAGCTCCAGCCCGCACCTCCGTAGAGGAAGGCAGATCCTGCAGTGACAGAGTCATGTTGGAGGGCAGGAAGGCGCCTTGCAGAGAAGGACCCTGCGAGCAGAGCCAGAGCTTTATTGGAGAGGCTCCTGTCGGACCCTGCCCGGCCTTTGCCGAGCTGCGGGCTGGCAGAGCAGGAAGCGCCTGCATCGCCCCGCAGCGATTTCCTCCCGGGCAGCCCCGTTATCTGGCAGGACAAGCTCTCCCTCTTCTTCTCCCTGATCCCATCCCTGTTCCCCAACTCCTCTCCCCGCCTTCCCTCAGCCTCACACACACACACACAACACACACGTAGACACAGACACACACACACACACACGCACTTCGCTGCCAAAAAGCGTCCTCCGCCCCCCTCCTCAGCTAACTTCCTTTCAGCTTTTTTTTTGAGCTGGATAATCCTAGGATTTGTAAAACGGGGGAAAGGAGAGAGCGACTGAGCGGGAGTCAGGACAGGAAGCTGGTTTCTCATTCCTCCGACTGTCCAAAGCAGGAGGAGGGGAAGGGGGGGAGCCAAAGAGGAGCCTTGTGCAGACTCTTCGCCGGTCGCTTTTCATCAGTCCGCTTGAACTTCCAGTCTCCTCCGAAAGCCAAGAGGAGGACGACCAGACTGGGACGCCTTCTGCTGGAAGTGGCGACAGCGCGACTGACGAAACCCAGAAGGTGGCTGTGGAGGGTCCCGGGATCGCGCTGCTTTTCCCTAAAAGACATCCCTCCACCATCTCCTGCTCCCAAATTGCCAGCTCTGATGCGGGCACCCATCCGCCACCCACTTGCCTCTGATGAGAACCGTGCTGGGCTCAGGCTATGATCGCTGCTGCTGCGGGCTGTGGAGCCTCCTCTCGCCCTGACCTTCTTCTGCCACAGGAGCAGCCCAACATCTGGTGGGGATTAATGTTTACTTCTCTGGCCGGACGCTGTACGGGACCCCCGATGTTGCTCCCTGGGAGCGGGACACGGGCGGTGGTCTGAGGAGAAGAGCAAGAATTTTGTCGCCCAGCGTGAGGCCGGGGGGAGGGGGGCAAGGCAGGAGGGGGGTGAACCTCTTTTGGGACTAACCTCATGAAGAACAAGGGAGCCAAACAGAAACTCAAGAGGAAGGGAGCCGCGAGCGCGTTCGGCTGCGACCTGACGGAGTATCTGGAGAGCTCTGGGCAGGATGGTAAATGCTTCTTTACTCTCACTCTGCTTGCAGGAAAGCCAAGCGCGTGGCCCCCTCTTCTCACCGGTAGTAGGACTGCAAAGCAGACCTTTCCAAAAGCTCAGGGTTAGACGACCTGGAGCCGATTTATCCCCGGGAAGTGGAGTCACTGCCCCGTTACTCACAATGAATGAACGATCGGAAGATTGGTGATGCATCTGCATGAGCCTTGCATGAGTAGTGCTGTGTGTGTGTAAAGGACTGGGCTGGGGTTCTAGGGTTTCCTAAGTGTGTACCAAGACAGCCCGACATCGGTTGTGGTGCCCTCTCCCACCTGCCTGGCTGTGGACAGGCTTTTTGGGGAGTCAGGTTTGGAGATCTCAACAGTGCACAGTGTTGCCTCCTCCAGGATTTCAAAATCCACCTTAAGTCCATGAGACTAGAATTTTGGAGGACTCCAGGGAGGAACTGGACTCCAGTACTCTTCCCATGTTGTCCTTGGACTGCTGGACGGACAGAGACTGGGTTATGGGGTGGAGTGTGGTGGGTTGGTGTAGGAGGCGTCTGAGCTAACGTGTTCACCACCCTGCCTGTTTGCTCTCACTCCTTCTTCCCTTGACTTTCATGCTCCCAGGTATTGAATGAGAACATAGTAGCTCAGACAAGAGGTAACTCCAATAAAATAAGGGCTTCCTGAGTTTGAAATGGTCAGTCCTTGATGAGGGAAGGAGCAGAACATGTTTTTTTAAGGTGGGTTGGACGACAAGAGAAGTGGTTGTGAGTTTGGCCAGCAGAAGGACCTGCAGTTTAGCAAGAGGAAAAAATAAATGCATGCCTGTTACCATCCCTGATGTTAGCATTATGATCCAGGTTTAGCATTATGTTCCAATTTGAATTAACCAATTTTACCAATGTCAGGTTATTTCAAGAAAAATAACCCAAAAACTTGTAGAAGGAATGCCAGTTTAGTACAGGGAGAGCTGTACAATCAGGTCTTTCATTTGCTGATGAGCATGGCTGATGAAGTGCAGTGTGGAACTGCACTGGCAGAGGGATGGACTACATAACAGGAGTACTTTCGTTGCACAGTGAAGAGGGCAGTAAATGTATCACTAAGATGAAATGTTATATATGTGCATTTATTTAGGTATGGGGGGAAAACAGCGGTTCAATTGCATTGTGGGTCATCTGTAACAGGTACCGACTCTTTTAACAGATATAGCTCTTAACAACAACTGAATTGAAATGTCAAAAAAATAACAGACTTAATGAGCTGATGTCCCTTTGCCAGTGTGAGGTGCAGACAGATAAATTCCATCCAGTGGAATCATCCATGAGCCTCTGTGGTGAAGGAACTATTTACAGCTGTTTACAGGAGCACTGGAAAACAAGACAGGGAAGGCGGGCACAGGCAGTATATTCATTCGAAGCAGCAAGGGAATTTGAAGGCAAAAACATAGTTACTGCAGTTGAAATTGGGCCAGACAAGCAAAATCTATTACCTAAAATCCCATAGATTTTTTTAAAAAATAATCTTTTGAGACCAAGAAGGAAGGACATTTTCTCAAATCTCATTTGTGGCATGGTTCACAGTTCCAATGTGCTTATCTCTCCATGCTGAGGAGCACTGGGGGAGAATAGGAAGTTCCTTTCCTTTATGCAGTACTGCTGTTTGTTCAGTAGCACATCCCATTGCCCAGTGCTGTGGGATCCAGAAATGTAAGACTCGGTTGGTGTAGGTTTATTGGTAAGGGTGTAAGTTAGATTGGAAGTTCCAATTCTTCAGGACAAGGGGAAAATAAATTCAAGTATTAGAGATATTAACTTTGTTGGTTGTACGACTTGCAGGATGAATAGGAATGACCAAGAATGCTGAAGTGACGTTCTGGGGGAAAAATGAAGGTTGGGATGTCACCAGGACATCACAAACTTGCAACCAAATTAGAAGAGCATTTAGGGTATGAGAGATGGTTGATTTGGGGGGAGTTGAATTGTCCTGCTAAGAATTATTTTCCGTGACAAGTCAGTGCTCCTGTAAGCAGCAAGTTTTATAGGTAAAACTTTATAGAGCTTTATAAAGTCTTTCTATATAGCTTTATAAAGCTGTAGCTTTCTCTCTGCTTTATGTAGTGCTGTGTGTTTAACTGGTGGGATGCAGGCTCAGGTTGTTCCCTACTAAGAAGCAACGAAGTTCTAAGACTTTTCATGGTATCTGAGAGCGATGAGGAGCAGGAGAGCACTTTGGCAGCTGTCCAGCAAACATTTTGTTGTGGACCTTTCTGAAGGCAGGTTTTAAAATGCACTCAGAAGGGTTAACTGGAAAAGAAGATGCTGTGGGCTCGGCAGGACGTGAGTCATACTGATTGTGCTTTCCGTGCTCAGGTTTGCTTTACACCATCCTGCAGTGCTGTTGTGTGTGACTGGAGCTGCACAGGCAAGGAGAGGCTGAGACCTGCTTTGCCGGTGCTGGCCAAGGGAGCACAAGGGATGGCCAGGGCTAGTGAAGACGATTCAATTCGGAATTTTTCCCTCTGGGTTAGTACATGCCCTTTGCAGTTAGGGGGTGCTGCACTACTTGTCCGATGCTTTGTGGAGGAGAGGCACAACCTGAGTCCCTACATGCTTGTGGTTGTTGAAGAGCAGCTTGTGCTTTCTGTAAGAACCTTAGTCCCTGTGTTGTTGCCAAATTCCAGTGGAGAGAATTATATTCTGCTAAAGGTATCAGCATTTCCTCTCTTCCCATTTAACTCTTTAATAACTTGCTAGGGTTAGTTTCAGAGACAGCCAAAGATCCTGCTGTCTTCCTTACCAGATCCATGTATCTAAGCCTCTGTTAGAAAGAACTTTATGCAGCAGAACTACAGAGTATTTAAAAATGATTAAATGGGAAGACTTTAGCAGGTAGAGTGAGGCAGCTCAGGAGCCAAAAATGTGGTACAAAGCTCTTAGGCCTAAGTTGATTCTTCAGATCTGACAGAGGTCAGTGGCAATGGGCAGATGTGCATGTCTGGTGGCTGGTTAGAAACTCAGATGTGTTGAATTTACTGTGTTTCAAGTCAGTTCCTGTCAGTACCACATTTGACCCTACTTGGCCTTTTCCTGCTGGCAGTCTATACACAGACACTGGTCACACTTCTTATGGGGGCAGACTGCTATCAGTGCACACAAGCATTTAAAATCATGACTCAGGCCACAAAAACCACGACATAAAATCAATGCTGGGTTCTTTGTCTTCTCTCTGTTTTCCAAAACTTCAATGTGCATCTGGGTTATGTTTTCAAGTCTTTCTTTGGTAAGAGGGGAAAAATAAACTTCTCTTCCTCCTCACCATAATTATCAAACAATGGCTTAAATAGCAGTGTGTATGAGGACAAGCTCACATCAGGCATGAAAGAATGATGGCTGGCAATACCAATGAGGAAAAGTTGTCTAATTTTGCTTAGTCCCTCCTGTGTCACTTCCTGCACTGAGTCCACTGATCTTTTGGCATATAAAAGCTTCACTAGAAAGCAGTGTCCATGCCCAGACTTTGGACATGGATAGGCGTCCATGCAGAAGGAAGTGAGTACTAATGCCCTCTACTAAAACATTTTACTGTGCCAAACTTTATTGAAATGTATGGGCTAACAGATAATAGTCTTGAAGGACTAACATTAGAGTCATGTTTTGTCCTCTTGATAACCAGCTTGGTTTCCAGAGGAGAAAAATGCATGCTGCCTCTGCTGAAGTCAGTGGGAGCTGCACCTCAGGCTCTCAGTTCCTGTAATAACAACAGTATAATTTTCTGGTGACGAATGGGCCAGCAGAGAAGACAAGACACAAGTTTGTGCACCATCGTTAGCTGGGGCAGGACACTCTGAACTGCCTAAGAAAACAGTCACAAAGAACAGTCTTGCTTCTGGTTGTATCACAGAATTGTTGTAAGAATCAAAGCTGTTAAAGTGAGAGGAACTACATGAAAAGGGAGTTTAATATTTCCAGTGATTCTAACTGCGGGAGATTCAAGCTGGGATCTCAGGTATACAGCCAGGTACAACTCCCACTTTTTAAAATGGAAATGCACACAGCATCTACAAGAATTGGGTTGTGATGTAAAAGGTAATCCAGTCTTTTGCATCAGAGCCTCTACCGATCCAGACCTACCTTTGCTTCATTTGCTTAGAGCCAGGTAGGACTTGGGAAAAGCCTGAATTGTTTCCTTTGTTTTTTTGGTATGCTGGTGTCTAGATGTTGGGTTAGGAGATGCTACCTGGTCTGCATAAAGCCAAATCTCAGAGTTGATGCCTTGTTTTTATGGTACAGGTCAGCTCTGTGTCTGAGATTCCCCTATTTGCTGGAGAGCTAATTCTGCTGTTGCTGTACCCCTCTGTGGTTTCTTCCACATCTGTTTCCTGCCTGATGTTGTCTGGTTGGGATGCAGTGAGCTCAGCTTTTCCCCTCAACCCCCTCCCACACTCCCCACAGCTCCCTCAATGGCCCTCATCCTGAGCCTGTAGCACCCAAAACACTTTCTATCTCTTCATCTAATGCAGCCTATTGGCTTTGTTTGTTACTTGCTTTAGAAAAAGAGCTATTTAGTTTGAGAAATTTTGAAGCCACCAATTCCCTTGTTCTCCCCACTTGAGGCTCCTTCTTGCCATGACAGAGAGAGCAAGGCCAGTCTGCAGTTGGCTTCAAATGCAGACAGGGAGACAGGTGAGGAAACCCTTACAAGTCCCTTGATTGTAGTATGGGAAAGGAGACAACAACATGGCTAGCCCATATGACACTTTCCTGAGCTGTGTGGCTCTGCAGTGGCTGCTTCTGCCTTGTCACAAGTGCATTTGAATGAAATAATAAGGAAAGTTTTAATTTTGCGTTAGTGGTCTCAAAAACGTGGTAGCTCTGCCTAGCCCTGGCTCCACAAGCAGGTTCTTAAATGTGTCTGAGAGCTGCAGTAGGCAAAGATTTTGCTGTAGCATAGACAAGTAGTTCTGAGGGAAAGCAGTAGCAATAATTCAGCAGTAATGTGCTGGATACAA